CTGATAACACGGTAACTTTCTTTGTTTTCAATCTCTTCACGTTCTTCGGGGGTGATGACATAAAGTTCAAAAGGTACGTGTTTGCCTTCAATGTGTCTTTCATACAAAGCCTTTAACACTCGGTAACTTCCTGGATGATGCCCGTCCTCCCTTGCGTAGTTGTAATACGGCTGACGCAGCACATCCTCTTTCTCTAAAATAAGTGTAGGATGTGGATCATCTGAAGAATCTTCTTTCATTTTCTGGACATAAAACTTATACGTTTTCCACACTTCGCGCATCCATTCTCTGTATCTTAGCCCATGAAAGATGTTAGGACTTCCTAGACTGTTAAAACCGTTGTCACACATTAAAAACTGTTCGTCATCTTCGCGTGTATGACGCTGGTGTTGAATAGATGCTTTTTGTTTAGCTTCTTGGTGTCGTTTCTCAACATCTCCTTTACCTCTTCATAAGGATGGAATCTTGCGACCTGTGGCTGAGGTGAATACGATAGCTGCTCCTTGATACCATGCGATATTGCCTGGTCTATCCACATGAAAAAGTTACCCTCCTTTTTGTAGCATGTCAGAAACATACGATTCTTGCTCCAAGGCTGTTTACTTTTTCGCAATGCTAGCTTGTTAGAACAATCAAATACCAACAAAGCTGCACGTTTTTTCTCACCAGAGTGTGAATGAAGCGCGATCCACTCTATGTCCTCTTTCCATTCTGAAGCAGGGGCAAAAATAAAGCACATTTTCTTAGGGCAGTATAAATAGCACAATCCTTTCCCTTTTTCTACCAATTCCAACGTTGAGCGGCAATGAAACGGGCAGAACTGACCAGGTAAGGAACTCGCTTTATCTTCTGTCAGCAGAGGTGTAGCGCTCGATTCGACTTGCACGTTTGGAGCGATGTTTTAAAAAATATTGGTGATAGTAATACTTTTTTCCGAGCAAACTGAACTTACAAGAATGAAATTCTGAAAGGCGAGCGCGCTTTTATTTTGAAGACATAATAGAGAGTACATGATCCAATCGGGGTTAAAAGAGACCGGGAAAGCCTGGGCAAGCCTATTGTACCTATTGTATAAGGGAGACACTCATTAATAAACCTATACCGAATTAGTATGCAGGAAGGCACACGGAAGGCACTACACTAGTATGCAGGAAGGCACTAAATTAGAAAGCAGGAAGACACTTACACATATTAATAAAAAGAAGGCATACGGAAGGCAGGGGAAGGCACCAACGGGACTTAATCCTGACCCTCTATGACTACTAGCCAGGATTTTATTGCTTTCTACTTCCTGTCATTCCGACAGCCAATCAGATCGTCTGGCATTGTTCTAAGGACTAATCAGCGTTGCGGCCAAAATCTGGCCGCAGCAGCACTGCCGTGAGAGACTGTATTAGGCTCCATTTGAGTGCGACCACGTGAGAGAGAATGTATGAAAGCTGCTAAAATTGGGCATGATCTTAGGTTACGTGAACCAAGAGCGAAGATCCTATCAAGGTTGATGCAGACCTGTGTCTTCACTCCACAGTCAAAAAGCTTTCTTTGCCTGTCTGCGTTGTCAATATGCTCTCCATACAGTAAGCAAATCAATTTCTTCGATTTGGGGATGAAAGATAATCTAGAAAACGACTTGGTGGGAGTAGAACCTGCCGCCTCCATTCGTCGACTGACCGTAGTGTGTTTATTGCGCTTAAAGACAACGGCACGTGTCTGATGTTTGACGCCACTCCTAACACAGCATACGTCAGTCATTTTTTCCCGGGTTAACGTTTTTTAAATATGATTCAAATCCATTTAGGCGGAACAAGTCGACCGCGAGACTTCGTTGCTCCCTTGGTTTCTGCGCGACCTCGTTGAAGCGCGCTTCGCTCGTTTTTTTTCGCTCGCTTTTTCTCGCTCGCTTCGCTCACTAAGAACTTAAGAGAGGCCGACTTATAGCAAGTCTAGAATTAGCCCTGAGTTAAAGATACCTTTTTCTTGAAAACTGTTTCATGATTATTTTGAGTTCTTCCTAGCGACCTCGATGCTTTCGTTTAGTTAGCTCGAATCGCGGCACTACTTTTTGTTTAAAGACCAGATTGTTTGTGTAGAGAAAAGAAACATCGAACAATCGAATCTGCTTTGTTTAAGCTCATTGTATTTTAGTCGGGTTGTTTCATGGCCTTATTGTGATGAATCTACACAAATTTTCTTTTGATCATTTCGGTTTAGATTTTTTGTTGCCTTGAATGTTTAGAAAGAATTTCCAAAAAACTAGTCTACATTGAGTGATCGTATTGATTTCGATTGGCCTTGATTTCCTTCGGTAAGCGGGCGAAGTCGGACACTCTTCTATTATCATAATCGATTACTAAACTCAATAGCACCGATCGTTCGATAGTTTGATTACCGAAATGTTTGGAGTAGTTACTCCGGGTAAGATAAATGACTAATTCCTTTTCAAATGACAAAAGTAAAATAAACTTACATGTAGCGAAGGTCTGTATTGTTGAAAAATACGCCACGTGTAATGTTCTTGATTCTGTTTGACGACAAATCGCTGTGAAATGAAACATATTCTGGTTACAACAGACTTTCTCTAACGTGTTATAAACGATATACAGTTCAGTATTTTTACATTTTAATAAAACGTAAAGTAATTTACCTAATTATAAAAATGGAAAAACAGGCAAAAGGACAAAAATAGGGGAAAAGTTCCCTGACTTCCCTATAGTTATAGTGAATAAGGCTCAGGTCAAACGTCGAACTTTTCATGTACTGAACCTAATCCTTCAATTAAGTTCATAGAAGACCCAGGAATTTAAAGTTCGAATGGCCCTCATGGGAATTTCGACAAGGGAATGACTTCGTTTCAAACGTTGAACTTTTCTTTCATGTGCCGAACCTAATGCATAAATTACTATAACTTATTTTCACTGGTAAACATTGTAGACCATGTAAATCGTGAAATGAACTGAGTCCGATTGAATCAATCGTCGAACTGTTATCATTTGGGTCGACCTTAATATATAGCTATTCAGTCCAGTACATGAAAAGTTCGACGTTTGAACTGGGCCTAATACGAAGACTTTTAATACGGACTACTGTACGGATAGGAGAACGCGGTCACGTGACCGTCAAAATAGTATATAGATTAAGCCACGGTCAAAAGCAAAGCTCTCGTGACCGAATTGCCATAAGTAAGAAGCAAAGTGGCGACGATAAGTTTTAAAGTCCTTTGTTTACGAGTACCTCTATGAAACTCCTACATTTGTGGGATATTTTTTTCTTTCTAGTCGGTCGGTTTTGCGTAAAAACCGAGAGACCATCATACACTACTAGGGCTGTGTGTGAAAATCATGTGAAAAGGGTGTGAAAAGTGTGTGAAAAAAAAGGTAACATGTGAAATCAATGTTGGCAAAAATACAAGTTCACCACATCAGCATTTCACATGCATGTGAACTTTTTGACATTCGTGTGAAATTTTGTAATACATGTGAAACATTTTTGTCATAAGTGTGAACTTTTTTTCCATGCATTTTATTACATGTGAAATCTTTTCACACATGTGAAACAATTTTGTCATGCATGTGAACTTCAAATTTCACATGCATAATAGATGCTATGCATGTGAAATTTTTCACATGCACGTAAACACTTTTAGGCATGTCAGAGTGATTATGTGAATTATTTTAGGTCTTGTTAACTAAATGCAACCACTATGAACCATATTTTTATGAAAATGCCATGAATTTCTAGTGAATACCCCATGAAAACTGCAAAATTAAATTTCATGCCATTCCACATCTAGCATTCTATGGCCCATGGCTGATAAATATCAAACTAACTTGACTATGAGGGTCATGAATTTTTGAAGAATAAGATTTGATAAGTTACTAACCTAGAAAATTCCCCATACTATAATGCATCAGACCTTTAAGGCAAGTGATCATAACAAACGTGCTGTTTCAAATCATCATCATCATCATCACCATTAAAGGCGAACCCCAATATACCAGAGTGCCAAGTCCCAGAGAGGCCCTCTTGTAAAGCCACGGACTGGAATTTATGTGCGAAGCTCTTTTCATGATCTAGCTTGCAACCAGATCTCTCAGTCAATAACTGTATTAATTACTAGGGTATCTAAAGATAGTAATGCTGCGGCACATTCTGTTGATACTGGCATTAGTTAGGCAGTGGGACTTAAAAGAATCGAAAATGACATTGAATGTCCTATTTACATGCGGGAACGTTGTTTAAAAAATGATCAAGTGGTTATCAACTCTGGTTTGCCCACAGTAAATTGCAGGAAATGATAGAAATTCAGATTGTTTATCCATAGGGTGTACTATCTTTTCTCTGGAAACATGATACTTTTCTTGCTGTTTATTGCACTTTATTAAGTAACAGTTATTTAGCTATATATTTATAGAAAACAACAACACAAAAAAAAGAAAAAAAAAAAGAAAGAAGGAAAAAAAGAGTTTGGTAGGACTCGAACCTGGCACCATCGGCTCGACGCGACTACACCTCACCACTACACCACAGAGACTGATTACGTAGTTCCGGGAAAAGTCTTTAATTTAATTCCTTTTCCGTGAAACTTCCGCCGGCAAGATGATCGCCAGCCGCATTATCGAGCTATTAACAGCAAAAAAACAATGTAAACGCATATTCCATGGCAATGAATGAATGAAAGAACATAATTATGCTTTTCAAAACAACAATACACGTCCTCGTCTGCAACGTAGGATACAAAACATATGTTTTGTTATCTCGATTTCCGCTGTTATTTTGAAGCGAATGGTCCAAATCACATCCATTTTCGGCTCATACAGGTTCTTAAGAATAGCATGGCATGACATTTTCTCACTTTCACATCACCTTCTAGCAAGCTGGAATTTGTATATCCCCCGTGTTGCGGAGTCGAAGAGCAAATACTCATCTTCTCGTCAGGTTTAAGACCTTGACGAGTCAAAGGCTCTTGAATTGAAATCCAATCCCCTAGTTAACCATCGTACTCATCTGAAAGACTCCTGCGTGTCTTAAATTTGGTAAGACCTCTAACCGTGCTGTAGAAAATTTGCTACAAAGAAAACTCTGAGTCTGGGCAGCGAACGATGCGAACTTCCCCGTGTTTTTATTTGACTTGTTCGTGGCGCAATGCACTCTGGTTAAATGCAATGCATTGTGGTAAAAGGTGATGAATTCGAGAATTTCGCCCCTTATATATTTCCCTTAAATCCTGATTATGTAGCTGCTCGCTCCCAACGGCCGCTCCGCAGCAATTAGTAAATACACAGGGGTTTCAAAACAAGCAGGAGCTACTCGACTGTATATCGCTAGCTGCGCTGGTCATAACAATTAGCTTGTGACAAACAATCTCGATTGTCACAGCCGCCTGCTTTTCCAGAGTTGGCGCCTACTTCAAAACATTTTGAAACCCCTGAATACACTGTACATTCTTCATTATATTTGGCTTAATTAAAATCTCTCGAGAATCCGATCCACATGTGCATCTTTACAAATATCACTGTCTTCATTGTTTGCTAGAATATGCTATATAAATTTATGTATTTTATCAACTGTCTAATCTAAATATATGGGTTGTGTATCTTACCACTTGGTTTCCACCCAGAAAGATGTGTACCAAGGTTTTTGTTAAGTGGGGAGGGCTAAATGCTAAGAATTAAACCATTCTTTCAACACATCTTCATTGAGGACAAAAGGGACTTAATTTTATTACTTCATCAGAAAACTTACTTTGCTAACATAAATGACATATGTAACTACACTTTCTGAATGTTTTGTTTCTTACTGTAACGCTCCTCGTTGTAACGTTGAAAGTCCACTTGAACATGCGAACAGTTCCTTGCTTTGCATGCTTTTTGAGTTTTCTTTTGATACCGTTCGTTCAACTAATGATTCCTTGAAGCAAACAACTGGCATGCTCTTGATTTGCTCAAGTTGTATTTGGTTCAATCAGCTTTCCGTACCAGAGCTTGTCCAACATGAACAACGTCCACAACACGTATTTAGTCGCAAGTTTGATTCAAGTAGTGAAGGCAAGCATTTTCTTAAGTCCTCAAAGGTTTCCCAACTTGAAAGAACAATGTTCAGTTTTCCTCTTGCTTCTAACACTTTAAATGCGCTGGAATATTCTAATCAACGCTGAAAATAACCGGTCTTTCGACTCAAACGAGTGCACTTTTATCCATCGCAAGATTAGCCGCCATGTTTGTTGTTTCCCAAGCTTCCCGTGATTTTAGCACATGCGCGATTTGATTTACAATGTCACGTGCGGCTTTTGAACCAATAGAAAATTGTAAAATGAAGTTCCGTTGAATAGTTCAAATTCAGGCGGACTTCACAAGCAACACAGCGTTGCAAACAGAATATTTTCGTTACTTTCGGATAAATAGAAAGACTTTCAATAATACCCATGTTGTTTTTGAGAGACAGTGATAAATTGCAAAATCCTTCACATAAAGCATGTTTCCAAGTCAGCAACTCAGCTGGATTATTGCAGAAAGGTATGTTCTTCTTGAAATCGTGGTTCGTTAACATGAGCTTACTTTGGTTTTCTAATAACTTTGCGTAAGCTTAAACCTTCAAAGATACATCTTAAATTTAAGATGCATGCACAGATATGCCATTGGTTGATTCCTTTTTGTTTACTGTACTCTTTGTTGCAAATCGTCAAGGGAATACTCTGAAAATTTTATGTTCTGGCGCTAGTAGGCTGTGGCAGACTTGTCAAGACCAATGTTAAA